CTATATTAAAATTATTTGGTACAGTAGTATTTTTAGCTATTTTGTTTGATTCTTTTTTTTCTGGTCGTGCTTTTGTATCTGATTATAGTAATAATTATAGTAATAATAGTGGTTTGACATGAGGTTAGGGATATTTAACATGGTTCATTGCTTTTATTCTGGTTTTTATCTTTTTGTCTTCTGTTCTAGAATTAACACTATTTACAGTTATGATTTTCGAAATATACAAGTAGGAAATAAAAATAAAGAAAAAATTCGAAAATGAATATTTTAATTTCTGTATTTCATCGACAAAACGAATAAATATTAGAGTAAGAAAAAAAATAAAGGAAAATAATTGTTAGGATAAGAAATATTAACTAGCAAAAAAAGCTATAAATGTTATAGAAAGAAACAGTGTGATAAAAATAAACATTAGAAAGCATTAGGTAAAGACAGCAGCAAGCAAAAGAGACCGCTAGGTAGGTTAGAGTAGAAAAGAGTCAATGAGATTATTAGAATGGTGAGAATAAGAATGAGCGTAACAGCTAATGAGACTATTAGAATGAGTTTGCCAGAAATGATAGAGTAGGAAGGAGCGTGAAAGTAAATAACTGATAGGGTAACATTAGGCAAAAATAGCAGCTAGCAAAAGAGGCCGCTAGATAGGTTAGAGTAGGAAAGAGCGCAACAGCTAATGAGACTGTAGAATGGTTAGCTTACCAACAATGAAGCTATTTTTTGATTTTGATTTTGATGATTTGGAGATTTAATGTAATGAAAGTATAAATTTTGCATTCATTGTAGTGCTTATGATGTTTTTATTGTTGAAGTATTATTATTTTAATTTTAATTATTATTTTATTTTTGATCTAATAAAAAATTTCTGCTTTATTTCTGGTGTTTTCCTGGTTGGCTTTGTTGCCTGCTATTTCTTATAATTTGTAAAAACAAGAGAAGAGAACTAAAACTGTAATTTCATGATCAAAGCCAACGGCAAAATCTCCCAAAAGGTGATAAATAACTATTAATTTAAAAAAATATTAATAATACTTCTAAAATAAAATAAAAATAAAAAAATATTAATAATATCAAAACCACTATTAAAAGTTTAAAAAGTGAAAAGAAATAAATAAATAAATAATTAAATAAACAAATCCTCTCTGAGTGTTAGAGTAACATTTGACGAAAATTAGCTAGCAAAAGAGAATATTTGAGTAAGAAAGAGTGTAACAGCTAACGAGACTGTTAGAAAGATTAGAGTAAGAAAGAGCGTAACAGCTAAAGAGATTGTTAGAGAGGTTAGAACGAAAGAGCGCAAAAGTCAAGGAGATTGCTAGGAAGATTAGAATAAGAAAGAAGATGAACGCAAATAAGTGTTAGGGTAAGTGTCACGCTTGTTTGAAAATATTAGCTAATAGAAGAGGCTATAGATGTTATAGAAAAAAAGAGATATTGTGGTAGAAAATAAGTCTTAGGACAAGATAAAGAAATGTTAAGCAAGAAATAGTTGCTAGCTAGAGAGGTTGCTAGAAAGGTTAGAGTAAAAAAGAGCGTGAAAACTAAAAGATGTTAGAGTAATGTTTAATCTTTCTAAGGAGGTTTATAGGAAGCACTTATTATATATATAAATATATGTAATATATAATGTAAATATATGTCTGATAAATGAAACAAAATTATTTTGTAATCAAAAAAATGATTTTTCATTATTACAGAATTTTGTATTTCACAGAAATCTTTTTGTATAGATATATATTATAATAATTGAAGGCGGAATTTGTTGACAACAATGGCTTACTACTACAGCAAAGTCGAAATATATACGAATAATAGCATTCCAGGAAAAAAAAAGCCATTAATCGCTGTCAACAATTGAATTTTGCATACCTTTTTGTAAATTTAAATTGAATTATTTTTCATGTTAGTTGAATTCATATTAAAAACATTTGCATACTTTTTAACTGTTAACTTTTTTGTTAATTGAAACTTTTGTGCAAGAATTTTTTCGTTTTATTCATTTATTTATTTATTTATTTTACTCATTCTTGGACTTTGCATTGTATGTCAATTAAGGATGATGGATGCTGTTGTAGGTGCTATTTTTCGTATACCATGTATTTTTCATAAAAATTGTTTTTTTTTATAGTCAGTGCTTATTTCTTTTGCTCTTGGCTTTTAGGTTTTTTGTGATCTTTTTTATTTGTTGATGTTAGAAATGTTTGGTTTTGGTTTTTTGTTTGGTGAATTTTTTTTGTATTTCTCTTAGTTTGGGTTATTAATTAAAGTTTTTATTAGTTATTAGTTTAAGTTTTCAAGTTTTTATTTTTATGTTGTTCATATAAATTTAAAATCTATTGAGAAAGCAATCTATTGTCTGTCTATTGAGAACTGAGTGATAACATTCTAAATCCTAAATGTTTCTTTAGATAGGTCTTTGAATTTGATTGGCCTCTGCTCGATGCTAGTAGGTGGATGGTTATTTTACAGTGAGGACCATAAGCAAAATCATTTGATTTTTTAATGGATTCTGGTATGAATGTGGCTATGAAGTGTAATTTTTTTTTTTTTTGAATTATTGTTGTTTTTAAAACAATTATCTAATTATACAAAGACAAATCTTTGGAAATTGTTCTGGCAGTGTCAAGAAATTTTATTTTGCTTTGGGCAAATTATTATTATATGATTTATTTATCCATTTATAATTTTATTAATTACTCCAGAGTTAGCAGGAAATTTTGTCCGTGTAAGTTCTTATTTTTGGGCAAGTTCTATATCTGCGTTGTATCTTGGTTGGTTCAGGTGTAGATTTTTATACTTTGTAGATTGTTCCTCCGTTGATCAAACGTGATATTAATTTAATTCATAAGATAGAGAGGTTTAATTAGTTTTTTTGTTTAGTTAGAGTGCGAAAGAAAATTTCTTTTGGTTCGAAATTTTTGTAATTGAAAACATTTTGAGTGTTTTTGTTTTTGTCTTCAGTTTACATTGTTCTGGAGTTACTTCTATTTTGGGTGGTACTTTATGGTTATTGTTAAGAATATGGGTAGAACTTCTTTTTCTTTGAATATTTTTTCTTTATTTGCTTGAACTGTCTTTGTTATTGACCTTCTTTGGTTTTTTATTTACTATGGGTGGTTTTACTGGTGTTATTTTTATATAATTCTAATTTTGTTTTCCATGATATTGTTATAGTTAGTCATTATCATTACGTTTTAAAGAATGAGAGCTCAGTTTGGTGTTTTTGTGGTATTATTACAATTTATAATATGGAAAGTGAGATAGCATTATAAAAAATTATAAAAGCGGAAAGTAGTTTCTAGAGGGATTAGACTGGGTTTCTGGGTTCTCAAATTCCTTCTGATGTTTTTATTCATTCTTGGACTTTACTTTATATTTTAATTAATGGTGATGGTGTTGGAGGTGCTATTTCTCGTATACCGTGTATTTTTCATAAAAATTATTTTTTATTGTAATCAGTGCACTGAGATTTGCGGGGCATATATTTTATGCCTCATAGTTTTATGCCTTTTATGACTGAGTCTACTGAGAATTTACTGAACATTTTTGAGAATTTTATTAAATATGTTGCTGGTATTTAGCATTGTAGTTTGTGGGGCAATATATTTGAAGCTGTAGCTTTGAATCTTTTCTTTTTTTAGTACTCAATAGAATATAGAATTTGAAATTGGATTTTTATAGGTGTTGTAAAATTATTTTTCATTCATCTTTGGTACCGAAATATAGTCCTTTTGGATATCTTTTTCTTCTGCTCCTGCTTTTTTGTGATCTTTTTTATTTGTTGATATTGGAAATGTTTGGTTTTTTTGTTTGATGAATTTTTTTTGTGAATAAGTTTTTATTGGAATTTTTATGTTGTTCAATTAAAATTAAAATTTATTGAGAACTGAGTGAAAACATTCTAAATCCTAAATGTTCTTTTAGATAGGTCTTTGAATTTGATTGGCCTCTGCTCGATTGGCTAGTAGGTGGATGGTAATCTTGATATTGGATGGATGGTAGTGGTGGTAATCCTTTATCTTATCAGCATTTATTTTGGTTTTTTGGTCACCTTAGATTATGATTGTGCCTATTTTTATTATTAGTATTATTAGTCAGAAGAGATTATATTTGACTGGTAAGTAGGAGGTTTTTGGTTATTGGGTATGGTTTATGAAGATTGCTTTAATTGGTTGTGCAATTTGGGCTCATCATATATATACTGTAGGTAAGAATTCCTGTGCTTATTTTGCTGCTACTATAGTTATTGCTGTTCCTATTGGTGCCAAGGTTTTTACATGGTTGACTACTTTTATGGTATGCAGATGGTATTTCAGCCAGTGCTACTGTGGATTATGGGTTTTATTTTTTTATTTACTATGGGTTTATTTGAGTTTATTNGTAGTTTGTCTTTTTCACTATGTTTTCAAGATGAGGGCTGAGTTTGGAGTTTTTGTGGTATTAATCTCTCGTAAACTTTTTTGGTTGGTTTTATTTATGATAAAGTTTTCATAAATTCTTATGGGTCTATATTAAAATTATTTGGTACAGTAGTATTTTTAGCCATTTTGTTTGATTCTTTTTTTTCTGGTCGTGCTTTTGTATCTGATTATAGTAATAATTATAGTAATAATAGTGGTTTGACATGAGGTTAGGGATATTTAACATGGTTCATTGCTTTTATTCTGATTTTTATCTTTTTGTCTTCTGTTCTAGAATTAACACCATTTACAATTATGATTTTCGAAATATACAAGTAGGAAATTAAAATAAAAAAAAATTCGAAAATGAATATTTTAACTTCTGTATTTCATCAACAAAAAGAATAAATATTAGAGCAAGAAAAAAAAAAGAATAAATATTAGAGTAAAGGGAAATAATTGTTAGGATAACAAATATTAACTAGCAAAAAAAGCTATAAATGTTATAGAAAGAAACAGTGTGAAATATAAAAGCTATAAATGTTAATATATAACGGTACTCAGAAAGCGAAATCGGTGAAATCAACGTTCGTTTCAGATTGGATCTTTTATAGGTTCTTGGCATTTTTTTGATTTTATGCTTTTGATAACTTGCAGATTTAATGTAATGAAAGTATAAATTTTGCATTTTAGTGTTTATGATGTTTTTATTGTTGAAGTATTATTTTAATTTTTATTCAACAAAAAATTTCTGCTTTATTTCTGGTGTATTCCTTGTTAAGTTTCTTGCCTCCTGTTTCTTGAAATTTGTTTAATATAGTTGTTATTTTGTTGTTTTTTCGTAGTATTTTTGCTATTATTGCTTATTTTTCTAGAATTGATTCTTGTGAGGTTTATAATTTTAATTTTTTGTTGTGGGTTGGTCATTTTTTTTGGTTATTATATATACATTTTGGTTTGTATGATTATAGAGGTGTAGATTTGGGTTTGAATATGAACATTTAGGCTAATATGGCGAAGAATGGAGCAATATTCAGCAATAAATGTATTATCTTTGCGTTGTTATGCAAAATTACTTTTGAAAATATCATTTTTATTGATAATTATGAATTTAGCGAAAGCGATCTTCATTTTCGGGTGAGAAAAATTCATCGAACTGATCTCTTTTGTCAATTTATGATAAATAAAAGAAAATTTGTTAAATCAAAATTTTCTTGAATAAATTTAGAAAATAAACAAAAATATTTTGAAAAATTTCTTTACACCATAGTTTGGGCAGTTAATTTGCTCCATAAAAATATTTTCGCAATTAATAAAAAACTACAAGAAAAAAGGAACCACAGTTCTAGTTTTATGATCAAACGCAACGACAAATTCTCCTAAAAGATGATAGCCTCCTGTTTCTTGAAATTTGTTTAATATAGTTGTTATTTTGCTGTTTTTTCGTAGTATTTTTATTATTGCTTATTTTTCTAGAATTGATTCTTGTGAGGTTTATAATTTTAATTTTTTGTTGTGGGTTGGTCATTTTTTTTGGTTATTATACATACATTTTGGTTTGTATGATTATAGAGGTGTAGATTTGGGTTTGAATATGAACATTTAGGCTAATATGGCGAAGAATGGAGCAATATTCAGCAATAAATGTATTATCTTTGCGTTGTTATGCAAAATTACTTTTGAAAATATCATTTTTATTGATAATTATGAATTTAGCGAAAGCCATCTTCATTTTCGGGTGAGAAAATTCATCGAACTGATCTCTTTTGTCAATTTATGATAAATAAAAGAAAATTTGTTAAATCAAAATTTTCTTGAATAAATTTAGAAAATAAACAAAAATATTTTGAAAAATTTCTTTACACCATAGTTTGGGCAGTTAATTTGCTCCATGAAAATATTTTCGCAATTAATAAAAAACTACAAGAAAAAAGGAACCACAGTTCTAGTTTTATGATCAAACGCAACGACAAATTCTCCCAAAAGATGATAAATAATTATTAATTTAAAAAATATTAAAAATATTTTTCCAAAATCACTTTCAAAAATTTAGAAAGTGAAAATAAATAAATAAATAAATAATTAAATAAACAAATCCTCTCTGAGTGTTAGAGTAACGTTTGACGAAAATTAGCTAGCAAAAGAGAATATTTGAGTAAGAAAGAGTGTAACAGCTATCGAGACTGTTAGAAAGGTTAGAGTAAGAAGGAATGTAACAGGTAAAGAGACTGTTAGAAAGGTTAGAGTAATAAAGAGCGCAAAAGCCAAGGAGATTGCTAGGAAGATTAGAATAAGAAAGAAAATGAAC